CAACCTAATATATAGAGGCAGGTAAAATGCAGTGGAAAAAGAAAATATCAAAATAATTGTGTTTGACCACCAGGGAATCATGTGTACTTTCACTAGATCACCTAATGAACGATCGCCGAAAAGTTACTGAGATCGCGGAATGACTGTGCCACCTCCCAATCTTTCTCAAAGTAGTTAAGCCTAATTTCGCGAATATGCGGATGGACTCTTGAGTATATTCTTGTAGAGGAAATCAAGTAGATCATTTCTAGAAAAAACTCGGACTCATTATTCAAATTCTATCGAGAGAAAAAAAGCCGCGAAAAAATCCGCAATAATTATGCATCAACCTAATACATTGTCTGACTTGTTCTCAACGAGAGCAAGTACACTGTTTTGCATAATGATGCAGCCATCCATAAATTACGTTCCGCGGAACTTCAGGAAAAGGAACGGAACAATATGAGAATTGTGCTCTGCTCGGACGTGAACGTGTAGGTCAACAAAGAGTTTCATCGCAATAACATAGGCAATTTTCCCTTCAATTTTTCAGGAAAGGAGAATTTGTCTATTTTCCCAAATGATACAACCACTGACCAAATCAATTTACTCAGCAGCTTGAGCAAAAGGGCAAAAGGTCGATCTAGTGCCGATTAAATCGGGCGTGGGTGCTCCGGCTGACGGGAATCGACGTATTATCATGCATGCTGCAAGGTTCTGCTGCCGATTCCGAAACCAAAGAGGAAGAAGAGCATGGAAGAGATGAGATTTTTCGGAACAAACTATAAATGAAGAACTTGATGAGAAGAAAATGCTCCCCAAACCATGATTCCTCGTCCCTTGAAATTTCGTCTGGAAAAGTGAAGCTTATCTTTCCTCAGATCGTGTCAGTAGAGCCGGCCTCCATCTGTGACATCACAGTTGAACAGTTTTCTTAGAAAAAAAACAACCTGCACAACGAAACATCAGGAGAAAGACTATGAGACAAGCTATGAGAAGGCATCTTACTCCTGTCGGTTCGGATGCAATTCTTAGCAAAGGTGACCCGGTTATCGCGATGCTTTCAGGTCATGAACAATGCCTTGCTCATTCTCGTTCATCAAAAAACTGACTTTTATCACGTTCCTAACCGAAATCCTTGGGACTTGAGCTTCGAAGAGGACTTGATTTTGTACATGACTCCGTCGTATTCGACGCTTTCCTCAGAATCCTTCGTTATATCCTTCAGAAATCGTCTTCTTGCCTTCTGTTCCCATACTCTGTAGGATTCCTGACGAAATTGTCGACGAATGAGTGGCACCGGCCGAAATCTCGCGCGATTTTACCCTTTGACAGTCCGTGTTCCTCCTTTGCAGGAATTCGACCTTTCTCTAAATCGGATAACATTCTTCCTTCATCCATTACCTGAAATCGAAAAACGTGACACAAATTAAGCAATTGTGTGAGGTGAAATCAAAAACGACGTGGAAATATGAGGTGGCTGTATCATTTGGCAACATAGGCAAAAAGGGCTTTTCCGAAAAAATGAAGGGAAAATTATCATGCTGAGATGGAACACGTTGTTGGTCTACAAGTTACGGTCCGAAAAGGGCACTATTCCCATATTGAGCTTTTCCAGAATTGCTCTGTAACGCGAGTTTTGGTGAAATTCATGGGTAGTTGTATCATCATGCAAAGCAGTGTATATCGCAAAGTGCGGAACAATCCGTCGCATGAATGAAACTGCCCACTCGAAGTTCCTTGTAATGTGGAAATATCATTTACCGAATTGGAGCGAGTCGTCCGTGTCAAGAGAAAAGGTGTAAGGAGGGCGTTAGCTATGTGACCAGGAATGCCCTCGAGTTCTCCAGTGCAGGTGATAACTTATAATGCGCTGTCTCGAATTGTGAGCATTACTAAATCTTATCATAAGACATGATACAGAACATCATTTTGGGCAGTCGTCCTCTGTCTGATTTGAGGGTTGATGGTAAAGGCGCGGGAGGAGCGTGGCTGGCGTGGGACAGTTTTTCGAGTACATTCCATCAATTGGTATTCAGGTTTCCTCCGAACTTAGGGACGTCTCGCTCAAAGCAATTTGTAGCTGAATTGCTCGCTATCCAATGACAAAAAGAGTATTATCAAGTAAAGCTAAATATTACAAAAAACAGTGAAACAGTTAGTGAAACAAGTATTATCAAATCGAGCATACAGCTTAACTGATCAATGCTGGTATCGGCTGACCGGATCAACACATTGTACGTGTAAGAGTGCTGATAAGCTATCTTACTCATATAATCCGCTAAGTGTGTCTGGTTGGTGAGTTTGTGTGTATATGTGTTTGTTTCATCCGGGAAAATCAAAACTCTTGTTCCAATGGACCTAGAGCATTCAAATTTGACGGTAGTACATGCAGCAAAATGGGAACCCCTATGGTGGGCGACAGGACCGGACTCCGGATGGAGGGATGGAGTTTGTGCGAAAGAAGTGTTCGAGCGGAAATGAACACAGAGCAATCAAATTTTACAGAAGTTCAGGCGACATTGTGGGGGGTACTGATGGTAGGTGAGGTCTAGACTCCGCCCGGCACAGGGGGGCCTGCGCGAAAATTGTCAATTCGGCCTTGGAGCGTTCAAACTCAGTAGGATTACAAATGGGAACACTT